TGAGAGAGAGAGAGAGAGAGAGAGAGAGAGAGTGAGAGAAAGAGAGAGAGAGAGAACTGGAGAAAAAGAGAGAGAGAGAGACATACAGACACACAGACGGACGAATAGACTGATAGCTAGACATACAGCTATACTGATAAAGAGATACACAACTGGATAGATAGATAGATAGATTAGTCAGCCAGCCAGCCATCAATCCAAACAATCAGACAGACAGTTTAGTTTTAGTAGAGGTTTTACTGAGCTCTCAACTGCATAAGGTCATAATGGGCGCCAGAAGATTAGAGGAGTTACAAGAGAGTAACAAACATGAAAAAAGGAGGAGAGATCAGGACGATAGATGTTTGATAGGAAAGAAAAAGCAAAGCACACCAGAGCACCCGCCAAACACCCACACCGACAAACAGACAGACAGACAAGCAAACAAACAGACCGACAAAACAAACAGACAGACCAAGAAATAAATACTCATCAGACGGACAAGAATCAGTGGCTGACTTGGGACAGACAAACAAACAAACAGACAGACAGACAAACAAGCAGATAGACAGACAAATAATCAGACAGACAGACAAACAAACAAACAGACAGACAAACAAACAGCCAAGCAACACTCACCAGAGGGACAGGAATCCGTGGCGGACTTGGGACAGACCCCGTTCGAGTTCCGGTCCGACGGCATGAGCTGTGGAAGGAAATAGAAACAACATGCTTAGGTTGATTGATTGATTGATTGATTGATTGATGATTGATTGATTGATTGATTGATTGATGGATGGATTGGTTGATTGATTGGTTGATTGATTGATTGATTGATGGATGGATAGATTGGTTGATTTGTTGGTTGATTGATTGATTGATTGATGGATGGATTGATATATTGGTTGATTGATTGGTTGGTTGATTGATTGATGTATTTATTTACTTATCCTTTCACGTATTTATCCATCGATTAATTAATTAATTAATAATTCATTCATTCGTGTATTCATTCATTTAACCCCCCCCCC